TTAAAAACAAGATGGAACAAAGCCATATGTGACAGTCTTTCGATAATGCTGACATTTGATGAAACAAAACTACCTGACAAAGTCTTCATAGGATACATGAGCTATGAAGTGAAAATGTACATACCACCGCCTGTTAGATGCTACAAATGCCAAAGATATGGTCATATTGCAGCGATCTGTAAAGGGAAAATGAGATGTAGCAAATGTAGTGGAGAACATGAGTATGGACAATGTGATAAGGAAGCAAAACTCAAATGTTGCAACTGTGGTGGAGAACATAATTCAGCATACAGAGGGTGTGAGGTAAATAAAAGAATGCAAGAGGTACAGAGAATAAAAGTCACTCAAGGTATATCTTATGCAGAAGCAACAAAGAAAGTTAGGAATTTAAGAAATATATAGATGATTTAAATGAAAAACCTGATATAGTGTGTGTACAAGAATCATGGTTAATATCAAGACTAGAATTTAATATTAAAGGCTACAATGCAGTAAGAATGGATAGGAAAATAGGTAAAGGTGGGGGAATTATTACATTTATACAAAAAGGTATCCAATATAGAGAAGTAAAGAGAGGGAATGAACTAGAATATATTATTGTGGAGGTATGGTCAAGTGAAGGTAATATTAAAATAATAAATTTTTATAACCCATGTAGAATGTTAGAGAGGGAACAGTTAGAAGAGATATGGGAGGGTATTAATGGAAAAACTATCTGGTGTGGAGATTTTAATGCACACAGTACATTATGGGGTAATAGAAATGATAATAATGGGAGAGTAATTGAAGAATTTATTGAAGAAGAAGAGCTAGTGTGCATTAATGACCGGACAGGAACTAGATTGAATACAGCAAGAGGCACAGAATCAGCAATATATATTACAATAGTTACAAAAGATATTGCAGATAGGTATGAATGGGAGGTATTAAGAGGTAATACAGTTGGAAGCGACCATTACCCAATCAGAACTCAAGTAGGAATAGAATGCGCAAAAGAAATTGAAGTGAGAGAGGAGAAATGGATTTTAGAAAGAGCAGATTGGGATAAATTTAGGGAAATCAGTGAAGATCGGTTGCAAAAGATTTAGGATAACTTAGATGTTGTAAATATGTGTAAAATAATTAGTGGGGGAATAATTGAGGCAGAAAACATGGCAATACCTAAATCTAAACCTAAAATAATTAATAAAATTGTTCCATGGTGGACAAAGGAGTGTAGAAAAGCTATAAAGGAGAGAAACAAAGCATTTAAAAAATGAAAATGACACACAACTTTCAAAATCTTATGAAATACAAACAAGCACAGGCAATAGTTAGGAAAACGGTTAAAAAAAAAAAGAATATTGGAGACAATTTTGTGAGTATTGGTAGAACAACGTCAGTAGAGAGAGTATGGGGGATGATTAAAAAAATGAAAGGAAATCGAAAAGAATATGGATATCCAATGCTGATGGATGGGCAGAGGGTTATTATTAATAATTAAGAGAAAGCAGAAATTATAGCAAGGACATTAATTAAAGTACACAGCACAGACAATTTAAGCCAAAAGGAAAAAAGAGGGAGCGTGGAGACTTATGTAAGATACCAGTTTGATTTAGGGAAAGATGACGAGGATCAGGTACTAAATATAAATTTCTCAGGGACTGAGCTTAGTAGGGCATTAAAGAAATTAGGGAAAACGGCTCCAGGGAGAGATGAAATTTGTTATACTACGTTAGAAAACCTAACTGATAAAGGAAAGGAGGTGCTGTTGAAGTTGTATAACAAGATATGGGAGGTAGGAGTTATTCCAAAGGAATGGAAGAAAGCAGTTATGATTCCCATTAAAAAGCCTGGGAAAGATCCCAGACAGCCAACCAGTTATAGACCGATAGCCCTAACATCGCATATTGGAAAAACGATCTTTAAGGAGATAGAAACTAATACAGGAGTTGCATTATTTGCTGATGATGGTGCGATTTGGAAAAGAGGGAGAAACATAACATTTATAATGAAGAAAGTGCAACAGATATTAAATACAGTGCAGAAATGGACAATTAAGTGGGGATTTAGAATATCTCAAGAAAAAACTAAAGCCATGTTGTTTACCAAAAAGAAAATAATAGAGGATTTAAAATTGAAATTGGGAGGTAAAGATTTGGAGAATGTTGAATCTTTTAAATATCTGGGATTGTGGTTTGATAGGAGACTCACATGGAACACACATATTAGGAAAATGGTTAATAAATGTAAGAGAGTGTTAAATGTAATGAGGTTTGATCAGGGTTAGAGCTGAACTTTGCAGGAAGGTCGATCTCCAGGAACAGGGTTGAGCACCACTGCTCTAATATAACACTAACATGTGTTTGTCATTTGTGCTATTTTAGAAAGACACCAAGGCCTAGCTATATTTCCTAAACCAAATGCATACACTCTCTCCTCCCCTGCACTGCTAGGACCAATCTCTAGTAGAGAAGCTATTACACATACGTGACACTTCTTTGTTTTTCTAACCTTACTCAACGTCCTTATGTCTTTGTGTTCTTTTCTTTCTCTCTCTCTTAATTACTTTTCTTTCTTGCCTCACCAGGAAACCCCCACAGATGATGTTTAAGTCCAGAGCTCAGAATTATGATTGACTTCTTTCACCAATCCTCACGGATCAATGCCTTAGAGGCGTGATCGCTGTATTGATAATTTAACATTGTAGCACCTGTCTGAAAACATGTTTTAGGTGAAAACTCAAAAGTTTTGTTAACCACATTTCTTCATCTTTAATCCAGAACAGAAAAGAGGATTGAGGGTAAAGAATTAAATTTATTGGTTTGACTCCCATCAAAACGGCATCGTAGTGTATGTTCCCTTTGTCTTCATGCTTGTTTTGTGCTTTAGTATGCACTGTCAACCCTGGGACCCTATGTAGACAGGTTCATGCCTTTTCAAAACATGTCCAATCAACTGAATTTACCACAGGTAGCTCCAATTAATTTGCAACAATTTAGAAAATATATATTTTTTCACAGTTATTATGGGGTATTGTGTGTAGAATTTTAAGGAAATGAATGATTTTAATACATTTTGGAATAAGGCTGTAACATAAAAAAATGTGGTAAAAGTGAAACGCTATGAATACTTTCCGGATGCACTGTACTATGTATACTGAGTTGACGTCTATACAAAAGAAACATGAGAAGTGAGAGTGTCATCTAGTATATCAGGGGTGTCCAATCTCAATCCTGGAGCGCCGGTGTCCTGGAGAGTTTATCTCCAACTTGCTTCAACACACTTGCCAGGAATTTTCTAGTATATTTAGTAAGAGTTTGATTAGCTGATTCAGGTGTGTTTGATTAGGGTTGGAGCTAAACATTCATGGACACCGGTCCTCCAGGACTATATGATACAAGAGCTTGTACTAGTGCGCACAGATCTAAAGAGTCAAATCCAAAAGCTAAAAAAGGTTTCAAGTATGCTTTAGCGTTTACTGATGATTACCCTGGTGCAGTGCTTATTTACTTTTTTTAAAGGCTAAAAGTGACCATATTCACCCCACCAAAACAGAACTGCTGAGAGGAATTGGCGAACACTCTTTGAGATGGCAAGATGTATGCTCTTTCCCACACGGAAAGAACCTATATAATGCATATATGTTTTAAAATAGGTTTTGATATTGGTCTATATATGTCATATATAAAATTTGATGTTTTACTATGTTATATGTACATAGATGCACATGTATGGGTACATATGTTCACCTATATGGTAGTAAAATTATTAAAATACAGCTGCTAGACAGCATTATTTAAAAGAAATTTACTTTTTTTTTTTACCTCATCAAATAATACAAGACGTATATATATAGTACAAGAACAGAAATAAGGCAAAAAACACCATTAATATTGTTATATTAATAACTATTAATATATGCCTGAATAACGATATGTATATGTTAATCTTAATAGTTTGTTAATCATTTACTTAAGCTTTCTGCTTTAGTCTATTGAATGAACTATTCTTTAACAACTAGTTTGTAAATAATACTATACTTTATTTAGTAATGAAAAATTTATCATTAACAGAGTAAGAAAACACAATCATTAAGCACATATGTGCTAATAAGCCAAGAAAACTGCATTTGTAGATTCATTTAAAAACTGCTTATATCTATTAATGTAGAGGTAATGCTTAACAAATAATGAATTCACTGTTTGTTAGTGCTTAATAAATGACTCATAGTGTGCAGTTATTATAAAGTGCTCTCCTTTTTTTTCTTTTTATATGTAAACGAGCTGTGGTGTCAAGTGAGAAATTTTAGATAATGATACAATGTCTGCACAAGGCTCCACCAAGATAACATGACATAATAACATGGAAACAACATAAAATGCTTGTATTTGTAAATGCTTGCTTGCTTGCTACATAAATGCTTGCTTGTTATATTTGGTTGAACCAATTGTTTTTATACATTTATTTGTAAATATAAATATATTTTTTAAAAATCACAATACTAAAAATTAAACTATCTTTTTGTTTAATTGTTTAACAATGAACAATTTACAAAGGACTTTTCCATTTTTTAATTTAATGAAATTGAATTGAAGCTTATCAAAACATAAAACAAGAAAACAGGCCTCACGGTGGCGCAATGGTTAGCACAATTGCCTCATAGCAAAAAAGTCACTGGTTTGAGGCCCAGCTGGGTCAGTTGGCATTTCTGTGTGGAGTTTGTGTGTTCTCACTGTGTTTGTGTGGGTTTCCTCCAGGTGCTCCGATTTCTTCCAAAGTCCAAAGACATGCTGTATAGGCAAATTGGATAAGCTAAATTGGTTGTAGTGCATCTGTATGAATGCAGGAGTGTAGGGTGTTTCCCAGTGTTGGGCTGCGGCTGGAAGGGTATCCGCTGCGTAAAACAAATGCTGGATAAGTTGGCAATTCATTCCGCTGTGTCAACCCCTGATTAATGAAGAGACTAGGAAGGGACTAAAATGAATGAATAAAAAGTAGAAAATGTCTGAAATGTATATTTATTCTTTTCCCATAAGAAACTTTTTAGTGTTGTTTTCTGGCTTAAGTAAAATAATGTAACATTTTGGGACAAAAATACAAAACAAAAGTCCAAAACTAGAGGCCAGGATGGCAAAAACTTCCACCACTACACTGTACTTCCCTGGCGAGCTAACATATGCTGGCACAAATGCAACCCAGACAGCACAAAAGATCAGCATGCTGAAAGTAATAAATTTTGCCTCATTAAAATTATCTGGAAGTTTGCGGGCAAAGAAGGCCAGTAGGAAGCAGACAGTCGCCAAAAAGCCAATGTAACCCAGTACACAGGTGAATCCCACAACAGACCCAATTGTGCACTCAAGGATGACCTTTGATCTGTGCATTCCAAAGTTTTGGTAAGGTAAAGGTGGACTGACACAGAGCCAAATGGCACAAATAACCACCTGGACGCAGGTAAACACCAGCACAATTCCTCTCTGCTTGCCCAGTCCAAACCATTTGATAAGAGCTGAAGATTCAGGTCTAGTAGAATGGAATGCAATTAGAACAACAAATGTCTTGACCAGAATACAGGAGATACACAGGACAAAACTAATCCCAAATGCAGCCTGTTGTATCCTACATGACCAGAGTGAAGGCTGGCCCACAAACACCAGTGCACAGAGGAAGCAAAGTTTGAGAGACAACAGGAGCAGAAAGCTCAGCTCTGAGTTGTTGGCTTTTACTATTGGAGTGTTCCGGTGGTAGAGGAAAATCACAGCTACTGTAGTTGTCATGACAGCACCGGAAACAGCAACACTCATCAGCGTGATGCCCATCGTTTCTTTAACAGAAAGAAACTCAGTTTCACGGGCCACACATTCATTTTTGTAACTATTTGACCAGAACTCTTTAGGACAGCGATAACATTTTATTGAGCCTAGGTGGGCAAATAAAAAAAAGACCATTATAGTTTTATGGTGACTTCATTCATTCATGTTGTAGTAAATAAGTTTTGGAGAACATTGAAGACCTGTACTGTTGCTGATTTCCCCCTCTGTGCAGGGCAGGCAGTCAAAACAGCACACTGGAAGACCCTTCTTAATGGCTTTACGTGTGCCTGGAGGACACTCAGACGTGCACACAGATATTGGAACCTGGGAATTGGAAAGACAAGGATTTCTATTCAATTTTAATGTGCATGCTTTCTTGAAGAAATTATTTGCATTTGGTAAGAGCCTTGAAGGCTTAGTTCAAACCAAAATGAAAACTGACTGACACTCATGTTTTGCCAAACCCTGTCGATTATCATTTATCTTTACAACACACACAATGTAATAATGCACTTTGAATAAATCTGCTCAGTTAAACTAAAAGTTTGCTAGTTTAATGAAAAAAAAACTCAGTACTGTTTTCCAGTACAAATATGATCCAGCCGCCCCCCCAATATTTCTCAAATACATACCAATCTAAGAAATACCACTCTAAGCAAATTTTATTTTTGTTTGTTTTTAAAGAGAACCCTTTAACTGGTGTCATAACTGCCTGTTTGACCGTTTGTACATGAGTTAAGCAAAATAACACAGCAAGTTATTTCCTTAACATATTTGCAGTTATTCATTCATTTTTTCCGGCTTAGTCCATTTATTAATCAGGAGTCGCCAGAGCGGAATGAGCTGCTAACTTCAACTTCAACTACCAACTTCAAGCATAGTGTACGTTTTACTCAGCAGATGCCCTTCCGTTTCCATTCTGCTTGGATGTAAACATGAACTCGTTTAGCTTAGTAGTATAGCATTGTATTTGTGTGTGTGTGTGTGTGTGTGTGTGTGTGTGTGTGTGTATATATATATATATATATATATATATATATATATATATATATATATATATAGAAAGAGAGAGAGAGAAAGAGTCTATGTTATTGTTAGAAATCCCACCTTACCTTGCCAGAATCTCCAGGCCATGTGATAGCTGAGTCATTAATACTGAGCTGGTTCCCATCCACATGTCCAATAAAAGCATATTGGAGTGAACCATCAGGAGCTATCTGCCAGTTCACCAAGTCATAGACTGGTGGAATGCCACCTTCTAGGAAATAAAACTCCTCTCCTAACTGAGTGGTGTAATGAACGTCTTTAACATGCTGTAAAAGCTGAAAAAGTCAGGAAAAGAGAAAATGTAATAAGTGGAGGTCCGAAAAAAAAAAGACATTTAACCTATATATAAAATTTCTTAAATAATACAAAGTATTGCATAAGAAAAAGCGGTTGCATTTAAATCATACAGAACTGGTTCTGTTGTTGTTTTTTGTACCTACAGTACATTTTAAAAGAACTCTAATTGCATCCCAAATGGCACACTATATGCACTATGTACTTATGCACTTATATGTACTAATAGTACTTCACACTATTTGTATGTAGTTTTGTCCGGAAATTCAAACTGTTTCCCAAATAAAGTTTGACGATTGCCAAATTAGCTAATTAAATGACCAAACTACCAAATAATACCTGCCACGAGTATAACCACATTCACCATCGGGAAGCAGAATAATCACTCTCATAGGAGAGTTTTGCTTTCACAATCCAAAATAGTCAGTGCCCAAAAGCTCCTTCTGCTACCTAAGCAGAGAAGTGGCTGCTGAGTGCGAGAAGTGTCCGAGAATTATTCCACACTTATTTTCATGGGTTGAATAAGTGCATCATTCAGGTATTTAAAGTGCACTTATTCTTTTTGCAGTTTTCAGTGTGAATGCACTATTACACTACTTATACTACAAAATTGCACCGAATACTGTGTGATTTGGGAAGCACTTTCTGTCTTTTGTGTTAGCAGTTTAATTTTCAGCCTTGACTTCCATACCAGTTAGAGTTATATTTGTTGTCTTGAAGACAAAAAAAGGTATTTCGAAAAATGTTGGAAACAAAAAATGAAGCTGAGAAAAAAAAAAAAAAAACAGTCTACACAAACATAGAAGGTCCGTGTATCATCCGTTCATTTGATTATTCCTTTTATTACGGAAAACGAAACATCAGAAAAACGATGAATATTTCGTTTTTCTGTTTATTCTGTAGGCAGAAAAAACGGAAACTCATCTGTTATTCTGCTTATTAACTTAAAACGAAATATTTAAACAAACACAAAACCAAAACGAAATAATGAGTCAAAAATGGTCCGTGTACGGTCCGTGTACATTTTGTTCATTTGTTTTCCATTTTCAAACGGAATAAAGGAAATGGAGAAAACGGCCGTTTTTCCGTTTTTCTTTTGCTCACGAGAAAACGAAAAAACGAGATTTTGGCTGGATTTTTGTTTTTTGGTTTAGGGTAGGAAAACGGATAAACGACTTTAAAATTCATTTTACACATGTAGGCGGTGCTGAAACGCCCACTTTCCTCTAATTGGTCAACCAAATCTGCGCTCGTGACGTCACCCTCAAAATAAAAGCCTTACACGCAGGCTTTTAATTATTACTATTTAATTATATATATAAACAAAGTTTACATATTCTATCATTTGAACCACACACAGTTAGCAGGCTTACATTCATTGCGTATGTATAAATTAAATAAAAACGTAAATCAGCAGTATTCTTAGACATTTGTCATTAAAATAAGGTCATAGTTCACTGCCAAGCTTCTTGCTGCTGTGCACCTGATGCTGAGCAAAGAAAGCCATTTCCGAGCAGCACTTGGTTTACATGATTGTTTCAGAGCAAGGGCTTTATAATAATAATAATAATAATAATTATTATTATTATTATTATTATTATTATTATTAGGCCTATTATTATTATTATTATTATCAGTTACTAGTGTTTTTATTGTTTGGTGTGGTTTTTTTCTTTTTAATAGTTGTTAGCAGAACCAGAATAAGAACACTTTGGGCCCTGCTATAAAAACAAAGGGTACCATTTGTTTTCATTTATAACTTCCTATTTTAATTATATATTGTAATTATTTATTTGATAATTAATACTATTTTATTGCAACGCCAAAGTAGGCCTGTCTTATTATTATTTTTATTATTAAATTTGCTGTTATTGTAGGCTAGATGGCAGGCTTTAAATATTTTAAATAACATTTACTCATAACCTTACTAATTCGAGAGCCGAACCTAAAAATGTTTAAGTGCAATAAGCCTGTACAATAAAGGGAGCCGCAATGCATATTTCTAGCGCATTCTTTCACTCAACAATTATTGCTGGAATAATAAAATAAATTTCAAATTAACTAATTAAACACATTATAGTTGATAAAAAATTGTGTCTAGTAGTTCCGACAAACAGATGAGCTCGCTACATGTGCGTTGCGCTAATAATTTGACATTTGCTCTTCTTGAGAAAGTGCTACAGCAGGCCCTGCTATTTCACATATAAGGTTAGTGATACGTATTTTAAATTAGTATTGCACATTATTCATTCATTTTCTTGTCGGCTTAGTCCCTTTATTAATCTGGGGTCGCCACAGCGGAATGAACCGCCAACTTATTTAGCAAGTTTTTACGCAGCGGATGCCCTTCCAGCCACAACCCATCTCTGGGAAACATCCACACATACACACACACTTATACAGTACGGACAATTTAGCCTACCCAATTCACCTGTACCGCATGTCTTTGAACTGTGGGGAAAACCGGAGCACCCGGAGGAAACCCACGCGCACGCACTACACTACTGAATTAGACACACAATCTCAAAAAAAAAAAAAAAAACTTGATGCTTATTTACATTATCTAAAGTAATTTCTTACGAGGTAAGATCTGTTGTTGTATTATATATTTTCGTTTTAATATGCAAATAATTTTCTTTAATTTGTAATAGGCCTATTGTCCCTCATTGTATAAAATAACCAGCCTTTGTATTCAATATGTGTGTAAATTGTCCATCCAGTTTGACGCAAGCTAAACAACATTTTGGCCTGTTTTGCTTATTAAATGAGTGATTTTCACGGAGAAACAAATCATCCATCCACACAATTTTGTATAGGACCTGTGTAAACAAAAATATACACTTCATCATAGCCTATAGGAAAATGTATCTGTTTAGAACCAATTTTGTGTCGTATAATTAAAAATATTAAAAATACATACATAAAAAAAAAAGGAATAACATTTGAAGTGCAATGCTTCAAAGATCCAATACGCTGCATGCAGAGCCAAAACACAAACTGGTTTGTTTGTTTAATAAAATAATAATATGAAATTAAAGTGAAATAGTTCCATAACCTGTATTATAACTGTAGTCACCCTAGATGACAAATCATCCGTTGCGCCGGTCAGTTTCACCTTTAATCAAGAATGTGCCAGAACCAAATGAGAATATTTACAGATTACCTCGGAATGAGACCTCGGTCTGTGAAGGATGCAGAACACATAAACTCGTTGAGAATGGATTTGCATGTTAGATGTTTTATATCCCTTTAGATATTGTAAATAAACAACAAGTTTTTATAGAGATTGTGTCATGTCTTTTCTTTGACGCACGCGATGAACAGCCCCGAAAAGGCGCCTTTATTTAGCCTGTAGCCTAAATAATAGTTTCGATTTTATAACATATAATGTTCCATTACTTTAAATGTATAATGTTTTTTAATATTTATGGATTATATAAAATATATAGTTTATATAAATGCGCTCTGATCATTCAAGGATCATAATGCGTTGCATATTCTTGTTATTCTTCATTAGGCTTGATCCGTAAATTGTGTATTTTATAAACTGATCATTTATAAGGACTAAGCTATTAATAACTGTAATTCCTCGAATGGAAAAGTCTTGATTAAAGAAAAAGAGAACTTAATTCGACATATACATATAGTGCGCTTATTTCTGCGCGCATCGCGCGCTTTACCGAATTACCTTTTTATTTTTTATGCACTATAAATGCATCTGGCAGCACCGAAAAGAGCAAATGCCAAGTTATTAGCGCAGCGTACAGACAGCTAGCTCGTCTAGTCTGAACCAGGGGTTTTCAAACTATTCATTGCACACCGATCCCATTGCATTTTATTTAGGATAAACCACTTATTTAAAATTAATTAATTAAAAGGTGCTTACTCTCTAATACACCACTGAATTATAGTGTCATAATATTTAATAATTATAATTAAGATAGACACCTGACCTCCATTTAATAAACAATTTATTTGCCATACTCTGTTAATTTGAAGTTTAAAGTTTAAATCATTTATGTTAAACTTAAATTATTTAAAAACTTAAAAAGACTTAAATTTAATCATTTAAGACATTTTAGGTCATAAGTTTACATACATTGACCTTGCATTTAGTAGGCCTATTCTGGTCTAAATAAGCTTTTTGCATCTTAGGTGTTTACACACACAAATTAAGCCGTTTATACGTACATTTAATGTTACTTTGAAATTACTTTTGATGCAATAAATAATCCTGAATAGTTGAAAGTGTTAACATATTCTTGAAATGTAGTTATTTTATTTTTATTTTATGAAATTTATTACTAAACAAAGTGAATCATTATGAATTTGCCAAGAAATAATCCACTTTACCACTGTAAAGCAATGCCCCACACTCACTAGAACGGTAGAACCTGGACTGTATGATATGTTATGTAGCCTATGTAAAATAGAGAAAATAAGCAAGATGCGCAGTCTCATGCAGCCTGATTAGTGAAATATAGCGCGTCACAGCAATGAACTAAAAATAAAACCACCCTTGAAATGCTGGCGATCTTAATTTTTTCAGCCTACACTGACTGAGAATAATGTTGCACTACTTTATTAACAAATAATTAGAATGTTTTTTCCTTCAACACATTCATCATTACTTTTGCCTGTGCAAGTTTTTTTGCGCGCGCTTGAGCCTGAAGGCATCTATTTTCAGGTGCAAGATGCCACTTTGGGTGGAACCAGCACACTCTGCCACACCTGTGACTATGTCCCTGCTACAATAATAATAACAACAACAACGACAAAATAATAACAAAAAATAATAATAATAAGACAGGCCTACTTTGACGTTGCAATAAAAAAGTATTAATTATCAAATAAATATTTACAATAGGCTAAAGGCATATATTAAATTAAAATAGGAGAAAATCCAATAGAAGCAAATGGTACCATTTATTATAGCCCCATGCAGGGTCCAATGTGTTCTTACAACCATTGAATAACTAAGTAAATAATAATAATAATAACAATACTAATAATAATAGGCCTAATAATAATAATAATAATAATAATAATAATAATAATAATAATAATAATAATAAATTATTATTTTATACAGAGTAGGCTATTATTTAGGCCTACAATAGCTCTGAAACAATCATGTAAACCAGTGCTGCTCGGAAATGGCTTTCTTTGCTCAGCATCAGGTGCACAGCAGCAAGAAGCTTGGCAGTGAACTATGACCTTATTTTAATGACAAATGTCTAAGAATACTGCTGATTTACGTTTTTATTTAATTTATACATACGCAATGAATGTAAGCCTGCTAACTGTGTGTGGTTCAAATGATAGAATATGTAAACTTTGTTTATATATATAATTAAATAGTAATAATTAAAAGCCTGCGTGTAAGGCTTTTATTTTGAGGGTGACGTCACGAGCGCAGATTTGGTTGACCAATTAGAGGAAAGTGGGCGTTTCAGCACCGCCTACATGTGTAAAATTAATTTTAAAGTCGTTTATCCGTTTTCCTACCCTAAACCAAAAAACGAAAATCCAGCCAAAATCTCGTTTTTTCGTTTTCTCGTGAGCAAAAGAAAAACGGAAAAACGGCCGTTTTCTCCATTTCCTTTATTCCGTTTGAAAATGGAAAACAAATGAACAAAATGTACACGGACCGTACACGGACCATTTTTGACTCATTATTTCGTTTTGGTTTTGTGTTTGTTTAAATATTTCGTTTTAAGTTAATAAGCAGAATAACAGATGAGTTTCCGTTTTTTCTGCCTACAGAATAAACAGAAAAACGAAATATTCATCGTTTTTCTGATGTTTCGTTTTCCGTAATAAAAGGAATAATCAAATGAACGGATGATACACGGACCATAGAACCTTAAGCTATTGTAAAATGTTCAGTAATTAAAAGACATCCTACAGTGTACACATGATTGTTTGCTTGTTTTTTTTTTATCATTTTAATTTAAGTCTATTATTTGTATCACTTGCTATGTGAGATGGCTACCTGCGCTGGTGTGATGTTGTCTGGAGAGGAGCACTTTGGTTTTATTTTTGAATTGGTGTGATTTTGTGAGTTACACTCCAGCAATGAATGAAGTGCGTGAGCAGCAGCATAAACAGCCAAATAAATATTATATGAAACTGTCAGATGAGATGTATCAGTAAATTCAATGTGACCCTCTAGACTCTCTCTGCCACTGCATGGAGGCAAGGAGTTCTGGATAATCTTGGAAGAGCTTATTGTAGGACTACAACCAAATGTATTTTCCCAAAGGGTCCTTAAGAATTTATCCTCAGGATAATGGGAAGGATGTAACTGCTGAAGATGTGCACTGAAGCCAGGTATGGGTGCACTTCTTAAAGCTACACCTAAAGTTCCCTTAGAGATGGTATAGAGCTGGGGATTAGCCATGATATTGTAACTGGTGCTCCAGATCTCACTGGCCAGGAACAGCCTATCTGTCACATTCCTACGCATCAATTCCAACAGAAATGCCTCCACATCTGTATACCAAGCCAAAACCAGGATCACTCGAGCAGAGGAGGCTTGGACTGTTCTGGCAGCAAAGGCCACGTCCTTTTGTAACCGCTCCCTGTAGAGTGTATGATAAAAGGCCAAGCAGATCCCAGTGCCTTTAATTTCTTCTTCAAGCGCCTGCAAAGTCCCGTGCCCATTGTCACTATCTGCAATCACGGCTCCAATCCAGGTCCACCCAAAGCGTTTGGCAATCTGTACCATGGTGCGTGCCTGATAAAAATCACTGGGGATAGTGCGAAAAAAATTTGGGTACTTTTGCCTGTCACTGAGACATGGGCAGCCAGCCAGGTAACTGATCTGGAAGCACATTTTAAATAATCAAACAAACCATCAGTCTAAAGCACTCCAAAAATGTAGTTATATGTAGTTCTTCACATGGATAGTAGTCACATGAATTTGCCTTCATTAGGGTGACAATATAGAGGCGCAACTGCATTTCATGTGTCACATGTCACATTTAGATATCTAAACAGCACAGAAAATTATGACTCAAACAATAATAACAAATTATTAGTTACTGTAAATTTACACTAACCCAAACTTCAACGCTACTGTCTACTAATAAGTTGGCATGTGGTTGAAATGTGGTAAATTAAAACCAACAAAACATGTTAAAAGTACCATCCAAATGAACACATGATAACAAATGTTGCAGCCTACAAACATCAATTGATAACCTCACCATTGGAATCTTCAGGGGAACCAAGGTTGTGGATAGAAGAATGCTTTGAGTAGATGAAGAATCTCCGATTAGAAGCTTGGCTGGTTTAGTGGGACCGCAAGTTTTGTTTCCTCCACTGATCATTGACATGGCTGCTGTCAGGCTGTGTGGGTAACGGGAACAACTATCCATTATGTGATAACCCAGTTTGACCCCCGGCAACAGTGAGGGATTTTGGTTAATTTCTTCAACTGTAAAAACAATTGCCTGAAACCAGCGGTAAGTACGTTCCTGAAACCTGACAATAGACAATTTCCAGCTATGTGAACAAGTGAATGAAATCAGTAACAATGAAAAAAATAATAAATAACAAATATTCAAAACTGAAGATACCATCAGAAATAAGTTACTATATACAGTTAAAGTCAGAATTATTAGCCCCCCTTTGAATGTGTTTCTATTTTTTTAAATATTTCCCAAATGTTGTTTAACAGAGCAAGGACACAGTATGTCTGATAATATTTTTTCTTCTGGAGATAGTCTTATTTGTTTTATTTTGACTAGAGTAAAAGCAGTTTTTAGTTTTTTAAACACCATTTTAAAGACAATTATTAGCCCTTGTAGGCATTTTTTTTCTTTATTGTCTACAGAACAAACTATTATGTTTGGAAATGTGTAGAAAAAACCTTCTCTCTGTTAAACAGAAAACGGGGAAAAAACAAACGGGGGCTTATAATTGAGACTTCAACTGTATATATGTGTATGTGTGGGCATATAAAAGCTAATAGATAATATATTTGTAGGTAAAATATATAACATAATAGGTAATATATTTATGTAACATATATGTACACATTTGTAATACTAACGGTAAACAATTGGCAATTTTTGCAAAATTTTGACATGTATGACATATTTTATATATGTGAAGTTCAAATATGGAGTAGTATTCCACATGCAATTTGCATATATTTTTATATATCAGATTTATTTTTTGGGATACATTTTCATCAGTCTGCATTTAGGAATTTGGCTACAGGTTCTCCACATGACAATAGTGTTTTCTTTAGTCAAACATCTTAGTCACCTTTTGTCAGTGTGAATTTAGGCTTGACATTGGTCTGTATTTGATTGGTCTTTCATGCATACAGTAATGTTAAACATGAAAAAAGTAATGTCCAGTATGAAAACATTGTCTGTAAAAGTGGTCCTAGAAACCAAATATGGAATAAGAATGAAATCTATAGATAATGTAGTGCCGTTGGATCATCTTCTGTGGTAATTGATGTAATTTGATCTATCCTGAAACTTACATCATCTAAACTTGTAATATTGTACATCAGTTTCAATATAGCATCAAGAGTAATGAAACAGTTATTACATTTAGTACATGGATCAGTTGACAGTTATATCATTTTAATTAAATGAATACATGGTTGTTCCAGATGTAATGTGTGAGTTGCATTTTGAAATAAGATGAATTTGATGTTTAATTGTATTATACTGAAAAGGTGATTTTAGTTCAATGACCAAAGCATCTTTGACTTGTGTGTATCATATCCAAGCATTTGAAAAAGCATTTGGCAGTGGTTATGATTTTTGTGTCTAGAGTTTTAAAAATTTACTCCAGGGTTCTGACATTTGTAGCGAAACAATTGTAAAAAACTGAAAGAGTTCTTTTCATTTATGTTGATCACAAAATATGACAAACTGAAGAATATCATTGAGACCATTTGCAGGGAAAACAAATACTGTGGAAGTCAATGATTATTTGTTTCTAGCATTTTTCAAACTGTTATTTTGTGTTTAACAGAAGAATGTAACGGGGGTTTGAACAGGTGGAGAATCAGCAAATGATGACAGAAGTTGTACTATTCTTTTAAATGTATATACTTACTCATGGCATAACACTACAATGATGTTTATGTATTTACATTATAATGCATTGATTACCATGCACATCCATTCATTAATTTTCTTTCAGCTTAGACCTTTGTTTATCAAGGGTTATTAAATGTATGCCCATCCAGTCGCAAATGGGATACACCCATACACTTTCATTTACACACACACTCATACATAACAGCCAATTTAGATAATCCAATTCACCTATAGCGCATGTCTTTGGACAGTGGATGAAACCGGAGCACCCGGTGAACATCCGGCAAACTCCACACAGAAATGTCAGGACTCGAACCAATGACCTTCTTGCTGCAAGGTGACATTGATAACCTCTGAGCCATAGAGCATTACACAATAACAAGTACAATACCATGTTATATGATAATATACTGAAATGAATATAAACTACAATTAGTACATGCTGTAGAACTGTTTCCATTGTTTGCTCATTTGTTAAAGCATTCTTGTAAATTTAAAAAGGTTATGAGAAAGTGACTGCAATCTTAAAGATACTGAGATTTAAGAAGTTATTGTGAAATGTTCAAATGGTGGAAAAATACTCCAATAGGCTTCTTCTAGATGATATGCAGTGCCACAATAAATAAAGAATACAGGAAAAGCATATATGACTTACTCTAAGCATTGTGCTAATCCAGGTTTTCTGGTGAAGCTCAGGTCTGGAGTTGCAGCCAGGTTGTGTAAATTGATGAGACCACCAATAATCACGTCACCGTCTTGATAGGTACCAAGTTCATCTGAGTACTGTGGCGTGATCAAGTACACACATGTTTCCAGCGGAGTCACCTCAGTTCCAGATCCACATACTGGCCACAACAGAAGCACCGGCACAGAAAGTGTGAGCCATGACAGGACATGTATAGACATTTGCACAGTTCTACGTTCTCAGCTTGTCTGACAGTTGTCCTGCACCCTACAGTGTCAATGCAAAACAAGAAGATGTATTTGTTTTGACCACAATCCCAAAAGATCAGTTGAGAAACATGGAGCAGAGAAAACACCAAATTACACATCCGCTGAGCCACAGAATTAAATATAATTAAACAATCATTTTTGATGAGCTCGCAGTTAATAGAGCTGCACAGGGACATTCAGTGTTTTTGGAATAGTGGCACCGAGACAGTTCACTTGAAAAACAAAAATATCCCATCTGTGGAAAAGCTTCTGATGCAATCACATTTAATTGTAAACTCTCGCCTGAGTTTTCTTAACAAATCACTCTTGTCTGACATCAGCATGATGCAGTTTGTGTTTGTTGTTATTCAGAATATAACATTTAAATTATAACCTGGCTACCCTTGTTACCTTCTAAATGTAACCCTTTTACAGACTTACAGGAATAGACGTAAATGCATGTTATGGTTTAATTTTTACTCCCTTCTTTTGGGGTTCATGATGCTAAAACAAATATTTTACATTAAGTGAAGTGCTTAAGAATTTGTCCAATCAGTACACTCTCAGAAATAAAGGTACAGGAGCTGTCACTGGGGCAGTACCTTTTCAAAAGGTACATATTTATACCTAAAAGTCCCATAATGGTACCTCATACTTTTTAGGTCCATTTGGGTACTAATATGCACCTTTTAGGTATCACTGTGGACTATTTGGGAACACATATATATCTTTTAAAAAGGTACTGCCCCCGTGACAGCTCCTGTATATTTATTTCTGAGAGTATTGTGTAGCCAAGTGACAGTTCACCACGAAATTCACTATACACAAATGTGGTCATGATTCCAGTAACATTATACTAAAATACCAACTCAATCTCACAGCAATTCGTAACTTTTTCATTTAGTGGCTAATTTTAAAATACTTTCGTTTTCTCATGAGATCAGTCTGAAAATACCCAGATAACACAGCTGTGTAACATATTGTATGAAGATTGAGAGGTAGAATCAAGGGATTGATTTAAACTATCTTTTTATTAATATTAACAAAACCTGTATTTATCCTGACGGAACCCATTAAACAAGTGTGCTCTTATAAATATCTGCATGTTTACATGGATAACTTGCTTACCTGAGATCCATGTGTAGACAATAATTGTTCTTGTATGCAGCAGTGATTGCGAGTTTTAGGGGTTAAGCAAAAGTTATTTTACCAGTCTGTAAGCATAGTAAACTATAGTTTTACTGTATGGTTTGGAAGTGATGCAGTTTAATCTAAAGCCAGCCTTTCATGTTTGGTACAGCCATGGGAATCATAGGTAAAAGAAAGAATCAATCTTTTGAATTTTTATGAACAATGAGTTATTAATGAAGCTGTTAAAATAATATCTGAGCCCTCACATGATATCTTTTGTGAGTATTAATTGCTGCTTTCTGGTAAACGATAAAAGGCTGCCGGTGTGCAGATACAATCGTTTCAAGAAATCTTTTTTTTAACTACATTAATTAGAGTTTTAAATATGTAATTTTCTTCATTGCATGTAATTTAACTGTTGATATGTTGTTGTTTACTTTGTCCAGCCTTGGTCTAGGGTCCAAGACAATGAAGCTTATAAACTAAACTAAACTTCTCAACCTCATTTTCTGTTAAACACAAAAAAGTTATTTTGAAAATTAATAAGAATATGAAAAAAGAAAAATTACCATGGAAGTCAATGGCTACTAGTTTCCTACATATTTCAAAATAACATGTTCTGTTTTTATCAGAAAAAAGAAACTGAATCAGGTTTCTGACATGTGAAGGGTGAGTAAATGATGACAGATTCTTCAGTTTTGGGTGAACTATCTCTTTAAAGTAATGGCTGATCAAGCTCGGAATCACATTAATAAAATATTAAAAAAATCAAGTAAAATAAGGTTTTCTTCATTTTAAAAATAACTCTGTTCCTGTTTTTAATTTTATTTTAGATTAAATAAATGCAGTCTTCATGAGCAGACTTACTAATCCCAGATATTAAAGATAACGCTAAAAGAAGAAGAAAAAAACACACACAAATATGTTTTACCTCATAGCAAACATTTCATTTTTTATTGCAATGGTAGGAAAATGCTTACACTCATCTTGGATGAGAAGCAGTAAAAAGAAGAGACTTAATGCCTTAAAGCACAGGGCAATTGGGGGAGAATTTCTACAAAAAACAAACAAAAACAAAACAAAAATAAAATAAACAATTCTAACAAACATTATTTTTGCTCTCTGTATCAAAGCAATTATAAAAATAAAACTTTAACCATACAACTTTAGAGTATGAAGAAGAGTTTCAGTCTTCTTTAAATTCATGACTATTAGAAAGCAAGCAGGTTAGCAAGCAGGTAAATGTGCTGTATTGCATTCAATACAACAGAATCATTCTGTGCAAAATCAAAGCACAGCATCTACAGGTCTGTGCATAGTCATGCTTAAAATGTTTACGCTTCACATGCTAAAGAAAAATGTCACAGTAAATTTAAACATACATAAAAAACCATAGTGCTTCGACTGTCGATAAATGTACCAACAAAGTATGCACATACTACACAGATATATAAACAACATAATACACAGGAAGACTGAATAAAAATTGAAGCCCCTTCATGATTTTGTTGTATTATGTAGTCTAAAAAAGAACCAATAGTCGACAACATCAAAACTGTCTCAAAGAGATATCCAATTCAGTCATTTACTGTTTTATTATTATCATTATTATTACTACTATTATTGTTGTTTTACTTTGAGACAGTACACATTTTGAACAAGATATTTCATTCAAGCATGACAAGGACCACAAATATCGAAAGTAATTTGTTCATAGAGCAGGGTAGCACATGTAAGGCCCGTTTACACTAATATGTTTTAGTTTTAAAATGGCATTTTAGAACGAAAACAATCTATGTCAACACTGGCGTTTCACCTAGCATTTCTAATATTTCTCTATCTAATGACACTTTGGCCTTTGGAATATTATATATTGTGTTTTGGCTGAGCGCAAAGATAAGTTAAAGAGCCCCTATTATGGGTTTTTGAAAATGACCTTCCATACAGTGTGTAATACAGATCTAAGTGAATGAAAACATCCAGCTGAGGGTTAAATCTAAAAGTGCACCGTGTTTAAAACTATTGATTCTTTAGCAAAATATTTGAATCATAGTCTAATAAACTAATCGAGTTGGGTTCGAATCTTTTGTTCGATTGCATAAACATCGATACAGTACATCACCAAATATGTAGTTCCAATTCTGTTAGAATGTGTGCGCGCTTTCCTTCCACACACTAGTGGAGGCGCAGGGGATCATGAGAATGAACTGGTGCTCTAGGCAAAAGATGATCATGCTGCCGTCAAACGGAAAGTGAAAACAAGAGATTGGGGTGTGATTGCGCGAATGATATCGGCGGTGGAGGGGATTGTCGCAGACGAAAGTGAGCAGATGTCGCAGACGCCATCCTCTCTATTCTGCCACCCTAGGCGGCCACCTGGGTTACCTCTAGGGATGCACCGGCCCTGGCTTTAGTGAATAAAGGGTTAAACTTCATTTTCACAACAATACCATTGTATAGCAAACCTAGTGCTGTGTTTGTTTTTGTAATTTTCTGATTTTTGATACAATAACCTACGCTGCAATGTGGGATTTGTCGGCTGTTTGCCATTCAAGGAGCAGCAGAGACTATGGGACTTTATCAGACTTTGACAGGGACTTTGTGAGTAACTTTTACAGTTCATATGGACCAGTTTCTTCTTTCTCTGGATCATAACATATGTGTAATTGAAATTGTTGCCTCATTTTGTATAGTTGGCAAAATATGTTTAATTGTGTGTTGTAACTTGTAATCACGTATCTATTATAGATCAGTGCTTGTACTGTATCTGTCAGGGTAAATCTGTATGGGGCTGTTCACATATCATGTCCAAAACCACGTTAAAAACGTGACACGTGCTTCTTCCTTTACCGATTTAAATGCATTTCTGAACTGGCGATCCACTGCTGTTTGCCTTTACAATGGCCACCATCAGCCATTTCTACACATGTGATGCGGTCAATTTTCTAAATAGTTCAACTTTTGCTAATGTGAATTAGTACTAAATGTGTCTCGTTGTTATTACTTGGGGTTAGGTTTAAGAGTAGAAGAATATGCTGGTCTTTAACTGCATTTATTTATTGCATTCCTGCATTGGGTTCTCATACAATCTGGCTGCTATTTCATAGCCGTGGAGGGCTTTTCTCTCTGTCTCCTGCTTAACGCAGTGAACCAATCTCAACAGACTGGGTCATTGGACCAATCATCGCAGATTAGAATCGCACTTAGGAGGGGTTTGGGAACAAAGGAATCGCAGAACGATTCATAAGGGAGTCGCTGGGATAATGAGGTAAAAATAAATGCATATTATAAGACAATGAAAGTATTTTTGACCTTGCACGCATATCAGCATGATGTTGGAAATCCCTAAAACCAAAATATGACCGTTTTTTAAGGCAAAATAGGGGCTCTTTAATATATTCATTTATATAACCATGTTACCCAAGTCTGCACATTTGACTGGCTGCTTGACTTTATTTCCTATAACTATAAACTTATTGTACATTATACTTTAAATGAACATTATTGATTATTAAAACTGATATTCAGCAACAGAGACAGGGTGTGTTTCATATTTTTTCAATTATGAAAGGACAGTTATATGTTATAGGCTCAACATTGTCATAAATATGCATAGAGTGAAGATGATGGTCCTATAAATATGTAGCTACAAAACGCCAAAATATTTTGGTGTCTGTTAAGTTGTTAATATTAAAATGAAAATCGGTAGTTTTTCATACCATGCTTACTTTTTATTGTTAAGATAATACAGCATAGCCAGGGTGATGTGAATGTTGTTATAAAGTACACTGTTCCCTTTAAAGATTTGCCCGAGGTGTCCACAGGAGTTTGTTTTCCATATTAAAATTGTGATGT